TCTTCTAGTTCTGTAAAAAATGCTATTGGTATTTTGATAGGGATTGCATTGAACCTATAGATTGCTTTGAGTACTATGGACATTTTAATGATGTTAATTCTTTGTATCCATGAGCACCATTTTTGCACCAATTACTTGTATGTTCTTCAATATCTTACAGTTTTCTAGGTACAGGTCTTTTACCTCCTTAGTAAAATTTATTCCTAGGTATTTTGTTCTTTTTTTATGCAATCATAAATGAGATTGTTTTCTTAATTTCTCTTTCTGAAAGTTCATTATTAGTACATAAAATGCAACCAATTTCTGAATATTAATTTTTTATCCTGCTACTTTGCTGAATTCATTTATCAGTTCTAATAGTTTTCTGGTGGATTCTTTAGGGTTCTCTATAGTTATCTTTTTCTTGTCTGATTGCTATAGCTAGGACTTCCAATACAATGTTGAACAGGAGTGATGAAAGTGAGCATCCTTGTCTTGTTCCAGATCTTAAGGAAAATGCTTTTAGCCTTTTGCCATTGAGTATGATGGTAGCTGTAGGTTTGTCATATACAGCCTTTGTTATGTTGAGGTATGTTCCCTCTACTCCTTCTTTGCTGAGAGGTTTTTTTTAATCATAAATGGATGCTGGATTTTGTCAAATCTTTTTCATGCATCTTTGACAGGATCATATCATTTTTATACTTTATTCGGTATATCACATTGATTGATTTGTGGATATTGAACCAACTTCATATTTTGGGAATAATTCCCACTTGATCATGGTGTATGATCTTTTTAATGTATTGCTGAATTTGGTTTGCCAATATTTTGTTGAGGATTTTTGCATGTATGTTAATCAGGGATATTAGCCTATAATTTTTGTTTGTAATATCTTTGCCTTTGGAATCAGGGTAATGCTGGCCTCATAAAATGAGCTTAGGAGACTTCCCTCCTCTTCAATTTTTGAAACAAGTCATATTTAACTTTATTTGATTGGTTTTATAGCCCAAATGTATGTCTTTCTTGGAGGACAGACAAGTCTATCTGCAAATGGGTCAGTTATCCTTGCCCAAAAGCAAGAAAATGTTTAGAGTTCTCAAAATAATTTAGTTGGTTTATTCCAACTCCTTCAAGTAAACCAACAAATAACTTTGCCCAAATAATACTACTTCTGTTGTCTTTTTCTTCCTAACTCTGATGAAAGCTAAGTTCCAAACCCTTAATATGTAAACTTTTCCACTTAATGGGTTTGTTTTGTTTGTTTGTTTGTTTGTTTTACTTTTGTTCTATGACTTATCTTAAAAAGCTATAGCTTTAGGAGTGTACTGGCATTTTTTTTTCTGGTTAGAGTCTTTTGTGATTTTCTGCATTATTTCATGGAATATTACTTAGATCCAGTTAAAAAGGCAGGTTCCCACATATAAGCCATAATAAGAACAGTTTCCCGATTAGTTCTAAACCGGAATTGACCTGCTACCATAAGAATGACCAGACTCATTGACCCAGGGGCAGGTTTGGTTGCAGTATAATCTTATAAAATCAGGCCCAGGGATGTCTCCAGGCTTTTGTAGCCAGTCAGGAACTTAACTGTGTACAAGATGTTATGGCAACTTCAGGACCAAATATTGTTTTATTTTATTCTAGTGTAGGTTCAACCACAGCCAGATATACTGAGGATATCCTAGAGTGGGTCCTACCAACTCCCAGAAACACTTTCTGGTAGGTTCCCCAAG